AGGAGTAATTCCTGAGTGCAGAACCAGGAGGAATCCTGTGCATTGCCGGATGTGACCCCAGAGTCCTCCTTCGCACAAAAAAACCATTTTCAAAGCGTTTTCCTAAAATCCCCCCCCCGCCCCGCCGTCATCTGTTTGATTTCCCCATTCCTGAGGACTGTGACGCTGCTTTTGTATTACTACCCACAAATCTGCAAAGAAGTTCTAAATCCGAGCCTCGGGAGTGAAAACTCTTGGAGCGAGATGGCTTTGGCAGAACCTGGCTTAGATGCCCGTGACCTAGGCCGAAGAGCAAATGCTGATGCGCCCACAGGGATAGGTCTCTCCTGCCGGAAAGTGTGCAGTGAATCGGCACACACTTACACCAGGCCTTCCCACCGACGGCCATGGGAGGGTTCGAGAAGAGGGGGCAGAGCCCAGCACCGTGCCCATGGAGAGCTGGCGTGGATTACCTTTCCCAGGAGTGGCCGGTGGCTCTCAGTCCGGAAGGAAGCGCACTGCCCAGCAGGGTCCTTGCGAACATGACAGGCAGGTTCAACGGAGATACCCGGGACACATGGTCGTCTGCGCGGAGCTGCTGTCCTCAGTGTTCGGGAGAACCATTGAGCTTCCCTTCAGCCCTGGAAAGGAGTTGGCAGCGCCAGTCAGGGCTCTTTTCTGTCCTTGCCCGATAACCCTCACTCTTTCCATCTCCGAGCTTGACGTGGGGCCCTGCTTGTGCCGTTTCTATTTCCGTGTTCCTGAGGTGGAACTTACCCTCCCTCCCCTGAACTCAGAGGAGAGGCTGGGGTGGAAACATCAGCCCCTGACAGACTCCCATGGTCTCATCCCAGTTCCCTCTCTGTCTCTCTGTCTCTGTCTCTGTCTGTCTGTCGGTCTGTCTCTGTCTGTCTCTCTGTCTCTCTCTCTTTCTGTCCCTTTTTTTTTCACTTTTTGGGTCACATCTGGCGATGCACAAGGGTTACTCCTGGCTTTTGCACTCAGGAATTACCCCTGGCAGTGCTCAGGGGACCACATGGGATGCTGGGAATCGAACCTGGGTCAGCCGGGTGCAAGGCAAATGCCCTACCCGCTGTGCTATTGCTCCAGCCCCTGTCTGTCTCTTTCTGTCTATCTCTCTGTCTCTCAGTCTCTCTGTCTGTCTATTTCTCTCTGTCTCTGTCTCTGTCTCTGTCTCTGTCTCTGTCTCTCTCTCTCTCTCTCTCTCTCTCTCTCTCTCTCTCTCTCCTGGGCTACTTTCCCTGCAGCCAGATACCGAGTGACGTCTCCATGCCCTGCCCCAGGCCCATCCTCCTCCCTGATGGGGCCTACATGAGAGCTTGAGTCAAAAATCCCGTTTCTCTAAAGAAGGTGAATTAACCCATGAGTAAGATGCTCAGTTTTAGGGAGATACAGAGTAGAAGCCCAGAGATTCCATTTCACAGGTGAGGGTGGCTTTTATCAAAACTGGGACTTCAGTGCTGGCGGGGTCGAGGACATAGGCGGCTTTCCGCGCCCGTTGGTGCAAACAGGAAATGATGCGGGCACTGTGGGAAACGACAGGGTGTTTCCTCCAAGAAGGAAACAGAGTATGATCTGGCCATCCTGTGCCTGGGGCCAGGTGTTCCAAAGAAAGGAAAGCAGGGACTCACGTCAGTCCTTGGGTATCTGAGTTTCTTTGGTGGGAGTGGGACCGCACTCAGCAGTGCGCTGGGGTGATTCGTGGCTCGGCTCAGAAGTGACCCTGGGCGGTACTCCAAGATCCTACATCCTGGGCTGGGGATCGAACGGGGGTCAGACACGGGCAAGGCCAGCCTCCTGCACTCCCTCCTCTCCAGTCCCTGTGCACCTGTTTTTAGAGCAGCCTGTGAGGGCCAAAACGGTGAAGTATGCTGGGCCAGAACTGAGCGTTAAAAGTGGCTAAAGGGGTAGATCGGACAGCCTTTCGGTATCGGTATTGCAAACCACAATGCCAAAAGGAGAGAGAGCACGCGAGAGAGAGAGAGAGAGAGAGAGAGAGAGAGAGAGACGGAGGAAGAGAGGAAAAGCACCTGCCATAGAGACAGGCAGGGGTTGGGGGGTGGATGGGAAGGAACCTGGGGACTCGGGTGGTGGGAAATGTGCGTGGTGGAGAGGCGGGTGTTGGAGCACTGTATGCCTGAAACCTATCATGAGCAGCTCTGGAAGGGTCTATCTCACAGTGATTTGGTTAAAAACTAATTAAAAAAAATAAGATGAAGTAAGCCGAGTGCCTCCATGGACGAGCAGAGAGAGAGAGATGTGGTGACCAGACCGGGGAATCATATTCAGCATTAACGAGGAAAGTGATGCTGACATTGGCCACCCATAAATGAGCCTCGGGGACATTATTATGCTCGGGGCAAGAAACCAGTGACAGAGGAACAGGGCATGCTGCTTCTTGTCTGAGCTGCCGGAGGCAGGCCAGTTCCCAGGGACAGGAGGGAGGTGGCTTTAGAAGACCATGGGGACCTCGAGTTTAAGGAGCACAGAGACTGTGCGAGGATGAGGGCGGTACTGCATATCCAACAATGCCCAAAAAATGGCAAATTGTACCTTGGATAGATTTTTTTATTCTAGTTGGAAAAGAGGAACTCCCGGCTTGGGTTCTGCTGCTAGGGAACCAGTTTATGGTCTCGACTTATGGACAAGGTCAGCTGAGGCTCGGAGAGACTAGTTCCATCTCTTATCCCATGAGGACGACATTAGCCCCACTCTCAGGCTTCTTGTGAAGAGCGAGTCCAGCAAGGATGTGGATGAACGTCCTCGAGCGAGGAAGAGGGGCAGTAGTGAGGAGAAAGCGGTGGGGTGTGGGGGCAGGAGAGCCAGCGGCTCAGCCATGTTACGGCCAAACGTTACAGGCAACTTCCTGTGGTTCAGCCTCAAAGTGGTGTTCAGTCCTTTAGCTGGGCTGTAGAAGCAGCAAAGATATTTCTCTCCCATTGCTATCTCTCCTTTATACACCTTTTTCCCCCCTTTTTGGTCATACCCAGCGATGCTCAGGGGTTACTCCTGGCTCTTGCACTCAGGCAAACACCATACCCGCTGTGCTATGGCTCCAGCCCCCTTATGTATTTTTTAAAAAATGAACTTATTGGTCATACAATGATGAAACACCCATCCCTTCACCAGTGCACATTTTCCACCACCAAAAATCCCAGTATACTCTCCATTCCACACTCTCCCCCTTCCTGTGTGGCAGATGATTTCCACATCACTCTCTCTCTCTCTACTTTGATTACATTCAATATTTCGACACCAGACCCACCATTATTATTTGGGATTTTACCCCAACACTCAGATCTGCCGAAAAGGAAGTAAAGTAAAGTAAAGTAAAGTAAGGCCCTCCCGTTGATCATCGATTTGCTCGAGCGGGCCCAGTAACGTCTCCATTGGAAACTTTGTTGTTACTGTGTTTGGCATATCGAGTACGTCATGGGGAGCTTGCCAGGCTCTGCCGTGCGGGCACGATACTCTTGGTAGCTTGCCGGGCTCTCCGAGAGGACGGAGGAATCGAACTCGGGTCGGCCATGTTGGCTGCGTGCAAGGCAAACGCCCTACCGCTGTGCTATCGCTCCAGCCCGCCGAAAAGGAAACATTAGACAATTTGTTTCCTATTGCTGATTATGAATAGGATATGATGTCTTGGAATTCTGAAATCTTAATAATTAAATTAAATTTAATAATAATTAAATCTGGTGGGATTTCTGCCGAAAGCCGCTGGGTTCTAAGATTTGTTTCTGAGTCTCTGGGATCGTGGCTGTTAAGCAGCTTGATCAGAAGCCAGAGGGATGTTCGTGGGTGGAGACTCAAGGTCTCGTTGGGGTGGGGAGTAAAGGGCCGGCTCCACCCCCTCCCATGAGGCTCCACGTGTCTCGTCACTGCGGGCCCCTACCTGGCTGTCCATTGGCCTCTGGAAGATGGCAGACCTCTAGCCACCAGGGGGAACTGGCGGTGGATCGGCACCTTTTCACACCTGGGGTGGCCTGGGACCAGTACCCTAATGCAGAGTCCGGACACATTTCTGCTTAGAGCTTCTGGGTTCTGGGATTTGTTTCTGAGTCTCTGGGCTCATGGCTTAAGCAGCCCACTTGTGGGCCCCCCTTATGTATTTTTAAAAGGACATTTTCATGAAAACAAAGAAGCCCCTGGGAACGATGGATTTTGTTGCTGGTTTTCAGCAGCTGCTCCTGGTAATACTCAGGGCCAAGTCCTGGTGCAGGGGGCTCAAACCCAGGCCTCCTGGCACCAGCCTTTGGGCTGTCTCCCCCCTCCCGTGAGCACATGGAGAGGCAGGCAGGGACACACCAACACCGTGAGAAGGGTTGAGCCCTGGCTCTACGCCTCTATCTCTGGGACCCTGGGCAAGTCACACGGGGGCAGGTTCTCTCTCTGCATCCGTGCCCTGGTGGTGACAGTGCCGGCTGGGTTGGACCTGCGGAGGGGATGGAATGCAGGGACCCCGGCTGGGGTCAGACTCAGGGAGGAAGTGGACCGTGGGATCCCGTTAGCTGCAGGCACGGATCCCAGCCATCACTTTTCCCCTTCGCCAGCAAGAGGCATCCCCGAGGCGTCCTAGGTTGCTGGGCTTATGGCCGCCTTTCCTCATCCCCCATTTCCCAACCACCCTTGGGCCCCGTGGTCCTGAGAGGGGACACTGGACGCGTCCTTTGGCAAGAGACAGGGACTGGAACGGTGGTGGATGACAGTGGTGTAAGGGATAACTATTTTCTTTAGAGCCCCCCCATTTTCCACAATGGCCCGATTCCCACTCCTCACTTGTGGAACCCTCTGCCACAGGGCCCGGGACATCTCGATCTTGGGCTATTTTAAATTGTTGCAGAGGACACCCCTGGTTCTTGGCAGGCGGAGGGGTCACCGACTCCACCCTGGACCATGAGAAAAGGCCTCTCACCTGTCTGGGGCACCAGAGCACCGTGGCCCGTCCATCCACGGGCCCCCTCCCCATCACGCCCGGTCTGACCCGCTCTGTCCTAATCCAGGGTGGTGAAATTCCGGCGCACGGGAGAGAGTGCCAGGTCAGAGGATGACACGGCTTCGGGGGAGCACGAGGTCCAGATCGAAGGGGTCCGCGTGGGCCTAGAGGCCGTGGAGCTCGACGATGGGGCTGCTGTGCCCAAGGAGTTTGCCAATCCCACCGACGGTAAGGGGGTCCTGCGAGCGGGGATCACCTGGGATGCGGTCGGGGGCTCTGCGTGCCAGCCGTGTCTCCCCCCTCACGGCAGAGGGACTGTGGGAAGGGCCAGGGGTGGGCCCCCAGGGCCCAGGAGTGACCCCGGAAGCATGGCCTGCACTGGTGGGCTCTCTCTGGCCGTCACAGTTACATCACAATCCCCGTCAGCATCACTGCCCAGCACTGGCCTGAGGGGCAGCAGTGACAGGGAGGGAGCCGAGTCTGCAGCCATGACTGCGACGCCACTGGTGCTGGTGGTGGTGGTCATGATGGTGGTGGTGGCGGTGAAGGTCATGGTGGTGGTACTGGTGATGGCGATGTTGAAGGTGGTGGTTGGGGGAAAGAGGAGGATGGGCACGATGCCAGTGGCAGTGAGGATGATGATGACGATATGATGCTGGTGGTGGGGATCGTCTTGGGGATGTTGGTGATGGTGGTGATGGTCATGGCGGTGATGATGACAGTGGTGGTGGCGGTAACAGTGGTGATGGTGAGGATGGTGGTGAGGACGGTGGTCGGGGTGCTGGTGGGCGATGGTAATGGCGGTGGCGATGGTGATGACGATGTTTGAGATGATGGTGGTGGTGGTGCTGGTGGTGATGATAGTGGGGGTGATGGTGGTGATGGTGATGAAGGTATTCGAGATGATGGTGGTGGTGATGGTGGTGACGGTAGAGTGGTGCTGCGGGTGGTGTGGCTGAGGAGATTCCAGTGAGGATGAAAGCAACGCTGCTGGTGACAAGGGTGATGTGAGCAGCTGACGCTGCCTGAGGATTCATTTACTCCGTGCCAGGCACTATTTGAGACGCATTTCTTGTGTTGCCTGTTGCATCCTCACAACAGATCCCCTGGAACTGTAGTTGTAGCGATTAGCCAGGCTGAACTGACGCACGCCGTCTGTCCTCAGCGCCCACTCTGTTTCCTCCCCCTGTCTGTGGGGTGTGCGAGGGGCCGGGTGAGGGCCACACCCAGCAGGCGGTGCTCAGGGCTTCCTCCTGGCTCTGATGTGCTCAGGGGAAGCGGCGCTGGGGTTTGAGCCGGGCTGGCTGTGAGGAAGGCAGCTCCCGGCTGCCCCCTCGCTGCAGTCCCCGAGCCCCGTTTCTGAAGCGTCACCTTGTGCTCCATCCGAGTGGATCTGGGCACAGACAAGCGCAGACGGGAATAAGCCCTGAGCAGTGCTGTGTGAGCCCCCAAACCCCACAGGAAGCCCCAGGCAGCTTTGGGGGAGCTGATCTCCCCTTGACCATCTAACACTGACGAGTGGAAATGTCCTGTGCTGATTCCCAGACGGGGGAGAACGGAGTGACTTCAACCCAAGGCCTGCTGAGATTTTAGTTTCATTTCTGTGTCTTGCTGGAGTTGGGGTCCAGACCCCAGGCCCCACGAGCGCGAGGGGGGCTCTGCTTAGAGCCGTTGGGGCCCAGTGGCAGGAGATCTCAAAGCAATGGCCGGGGAGGCAGGAGGCCAGGCCGCGCACTGAGATGGCCCCTTCATGCCCACCCAGGCTCGATGTTGCCATCAACGATGCAACGATGACCCAACTGTGTGACTGGGAGGCAGGCCAGGCCTTTCTCTGCACCAAGGGGCCAGACTGGGCCTCCATTGATCTGCCGGTGGCAGAGACTAAGGCAGCGAGTTCCGCCTCATGACTGGACATGCTGTTACCCAAGTGCCTGGCAAACGGTGAGCCGTCACAAAGGGCTCCGTCATACCGCGATGCTCCGGGGACATTTTGGGACACGCTCTGCTTGCACATACTTATTTTTATTTTCTTTTTGCTGGTGGGAGCCAGTCCCTGCTGGTGTAATAAGCACCAGCTCAGGGGTCCAAAGATGATGACGATGAGAATTAGAGGTCCGGGATTGAAAGTGCAAAAAGATGGGTGCTGAGAACATCATCAGAGGCAGTGCCCGGGAGGCTCACGCAGTGTATTTATTTCATTAGCTGGGAGATGGGAGTTTGAGTGACACATGGTGGCACTTAGGGCTTACTCCTGGCTCGAAAATCAGGTTACTCCTGGAGGGGCTTAGGGTATCCTATGTGGTGCCAGGGATTGAGCCTGGGGTGGCCGCGTGCAAGGAACGTGTGTTACCCGTCGTACTATCTCTCTGGCCCTATGCTTGTAATTTTTCATTCAGTTTTAAAGTTTCGAATCAAGTTGGATTTACAAACCTTATAGCTCAGGGAGTCTGTGGCTAGTTCATGCAGCGCCCCTAGTGGTAGCATCCGGGCTCGGGTACCACGGAGTCTGTCCACGGAATTCCAGACTGGATTCCGACGTGTGCGCGTGCAGCTCCAAGATGCAATCGGGGCGTGCCACGTTTGTATTGAGTCTTGCAGTACCCCTCAGAGACATTGATTAGGTGGTAAATTGTAATCTCCCCACTGTATCTCCCCCCAAAAGCAACAACAACAATAACAAAAGCTAAAACAAAGTTCAGGTTTTTTTTTTTAATTTGTTTTTTGTTTTATCAGGCAAAGTTCAGCAATGCTCAGGGGTTCCTCCTGGCTCTGCACTCAGAATCGCTTCTGGTGGTGCTTGGGGAACCATGTGGGGTCCTGGCAAATGAACCCGGGTCGGCCATGGGCCCTACCCACCCCCGCAGTTCAGGTTTTGTATACATACACACACAGATTTCTAAAAACATAACCAAACAAAATAGTTGTCACTCTTATCTTTCAATGGAACCAACCGAGTGTTATACCCCTCTTCTTACTGCTGCCAGTTCTTCTTAACCAGCTGGGTCATGTTTCATAATATGGATACAGAACAGTCGATTTATAGTCTATACTGATTCCAATCACTTTCTGTGGCATGCCATGCCATGTTTTGCCGGTTCTCCTGTCATCAACGTGGCAGCCGACTCTTCAGCCTCAGAGGGCTTCAGACTTCTTGGAATATTTCTCTCGCATCACCCCTGCAAGCGAGATAGGGCTGCCTTTATCGAGTGCAGTGGAACACCGCCCCCCACTAATACTGCTCTCCAGCTTGGGATCACATGGTGGTGCACTCACACTTCCCTGCCCCCCCCCCCTTGCCTTCCCAGATACGTTCATGGTGGAAGATGCGGTGGAAGCCATTGGGTTTGGAAAATTCCAGTGGAAGCTGTCCGTCCTCACCGGCTTGGCTTGGGCAAGTATCCAGGGCTCAGCTCACATTCCGTCCCCAGGGACTCTCCCTGCTGCCCCTGTGGGTTTTCACTGTCAACCAGGAAAGACGTGGTACCCTCCACATGAAGCCTTTACTGGCATCAACAGCTTATGCTGTGTGACCCTGGTGATGATGAAGGTCTGTGTGTGTGGGAAGGGTGCGCGGTGTGTGGTAATGACCCTGCAGGAAGAACTGGGAGAACTGAAGCTTGTAAGAGATTCTTAACCCTTGGGGCTCAAGGCTACTACTACATCATCAGGGGGATGCCTTCTCTTCCTTAAAATAAGGGGGGGAGGCTGGAGCAATAGCACAGTGGGTAGTGCATTTGCCTTGCACACGGCCGACCCAGGTTCGATTCCCAGCATCCCATATGGTCCCCTGAGCACCACCAGGAGTCATTCCTGAGTCCAGAACCAGGAGTAACCCCTGTGCATTGCTGAGTGTGACCCAAAAAAAGCCAAAAAAAAGTGCAGGATCTGGAGATAGTACAGAGAGTAAGGCACTTGACTTGCACGCAGTCAAACTGGGTTCGATCCCCGGCATCCCATATGGTCCCCCAAACTCTGCCAGCAGTGATCCCTGAGCAAAGAGCCAGGAGTAACCCCTGAGTATTTCCGGGTGTGGCCCCCAAACCAAAACCAAGCAAACCAAAAGATGTGCAGAGAAATATATGCTTTGTTTCAAAGGATTTGCAAGTCCAGGTCATAACCTCCTCATGTACTGTAGTAAATTCTGTATTTTGGAGTGTGAATACCACTGAAACTCATTTTTCGTAAACAGGAAGAACATGTAGTTTAAAAAAATTTCTTTTTTTCCCCAAACAGTTTAGCACTAGCCCCTTAAGTCTTTCCCCACTAAGTTGAAAAACTATCGTTGTCACGCAGGTCGGCTTCCAGACTCACTTTCCCGTTTTACTGCCATCTGCAGAGTCCCAGAAAGATGCTGTTTTTATTATTATTATTATTATTATTATTATTATTATTATTGTTTTAATGAATCACCGTGAGATGCAGTTACAGACTTACAAACCTTCATGATTGCATTCCAGTCAAACAGTGTTCAAGTACCCACCCCTCTACCAGCACCCATTCTCCACCACCAATGTTCCCAGTATCCGTCCCGCCACCCCCCCTCCTTTCCACCCCCTGCCCCTGTGGCAGGCACATTCCCTCTTACTCGCTCTCTCCTTTTGGGTGTTATGATTTTGCAATAGGGGTATCGAGAGGCCATCATGCTTGGTCCACCGTCTACTTTCAGCACGAAAGATGCTGTGTTTTGATTACCTGGGCTGCACTGCAACTCCATCCATTTATCAAAAAGTCCTTCTTGTTACAGACATTGACAATGTTGCATGAACAAAGACAAATGAGTCTCTAATGGGGTGAAAAGGGAAAAAAGACAGTAGTCTCGACCTTGGCTGAAATACTTTTTTCCTAGGATTTTTTTTAAAAAAAATATGGTTTTCCCAATCATTTGGAAGGTCCCAATCTTGGGGGTGGGGCTCGGGCCACATTTAATAGTTTGCTTCTGGCTCTGTGCTCAGGGGTCACTCCTGCTGGTGTTCATGGAACCATATGCGATATTGGGGCTCAAACGAAGTCAGTCATGTGTAAGGCAAGTGCCTGACCGCTTGTTCTGCTCTGTACCACTTCCCCGACCCTCCCCCTGCCCACTTAAAGAAAAAGGGAACACACACAGAGAAATGTTCAGCATCTCGCGGTGGTTCCCTGTGCTGGCCGCTGAGCTCTCTGTTTTGATAGGCGGTAGAGCACGCCGCAGGCTGTCGGGGAAGGTGCAGGTGGATTCTGCGCGGTGCGGTCCTGGACTCCTGCCTCTTGCTCCCTCCCGCAGATGGCCGACGCCATGGAGATGATGATCCTGAGCATCCTGGCGCCCCAGCTGCACTGCGAGTGGCGGCTCCCCAGCTGGCAGGTGGCCCTGCTGACCTCGGTGAGTCCCAGGGGGCTCACGCCGGGACACACGGCTCGGAGCTCTCGGGGTGTCCTGGGGAGTCCCCCTCCTCCCGCCGCTGCCAAGGGCTCAGCAGGAAATGAAACCCAGGCTGGACACCCCGTGACCTCAGCTGCTTTTCCTCGCCTCCCCCTTTTCATTGCCTGCCAGGCTTGTGGCCAGTGTCCAGTGCTGCCCCTTCGAGCAGGCCCCCCGCATCCACACCACTTCCGGGAGCAGGAACCCGTCTGGGTCTATCGCTTAAACCTTTTAAGACTGGCCTTTTGGGGGCTGGAGCGATAGCACAGCGGGGAGGGCGTTTGCCTTGCATGTGGATGACCCGGGTTCGACTCCCAGCATCCCATATGGTCCCCAGAGCACCACCAGGAGTAATTCCTGAGTGCAAAGCCAGGAATAACCCCTGTGCATCACCGGGTGTGACCCAAAAAGAAAAAAAAAAGACTGGCCTTTTTTTGGGGGGGCGGGGAGGCGCGACACCCAGCAATGCTCAGGGGTCGTTCCCCACTCTAAGCTCAGGAATGACCTTTGGTGATACTCCGGGGACCATCTGGGATGCTGAGGATGGAGCCCAGGCCAGCTGCGTGCCAAGCAACGCCCTCCCCACTGTACTACGGGGATCCAGCCACTAAGATGACTCACTTTTTCTGATGGCCAATAGGAGGCGTCAGTTCCACCCATTCAAGGGCAAGCTGAGGACCGGCTCAGTGCCTGGCACCTGGGTGGTTTCTAACTGCGGGGAGCTCGGAGGGTGACCCAGCGCCCCCTTTCTTGCCTTTGGGGTAACTCAGCGCTGCTCACTCACAGTCTCAGGGTCACCCCCAGGGATGCTCAGGAGACCATGTGGTGCCCGGGGTTGAACCCAAGGCTCCTGCACGTGACAGACACATCAGCCCTGTGAACTTGAACCCGTGCCTCCATTTTTCTTAGCATCAACATTCTCAAAAGAACAGGTGGGCGGAGCCATAGCGCAGGCGGGAGGGAGCTTGCCTGGCATACAGCTGACCTGGGTTTGATCCCCAGCACCCCAGAGGGTCCCCCAAGCACCACCAGGAGTGATCCCTGAGTGCAGTCAGGGGTGACCCCTGAACACAGCTGGGGGTGCCCCTCAACCCCCTTAAAAGAAAGGGCATGGCCAGGCCACATTAGAAGATAATAACGACATCACAAAAGCTGCTGTTTACCTGGCACTATGGCAAAGGACTCTGGAGACATGGTCCACAATATAGGTACAACACGCATTGTCCTCTTTATTTTTTTTTTCTCTTTGGGTCATGCCTGGCGATGCACAGGCGTTACTCCTGGCTCTTGCACTCAGGAATTCCTCCTGGCGGTGCTCGGGGGACCCTATGGGATGCTGGGAATAGAACCCGGGTCGGCCGCGTGCAAGGCAAATGCCCTACCCATTGTATTATTCCTCTAACCCCTCTACTCTTTATTTTTATTTTTTGTAAAGTATTGCAGAATAGAAGGGAAAGGAGAAGGAGGAACTTAGCATAGGACTGATTTCACATTCGGGTTTTGGGGGCTTTTGTTTTTGTTTGGGGCCACACCTGGCAATGCTCAGGCTTTGCTCTCAGGCATCCCTCCTGGCAGGCTCAGGGTACCAAGTGGGATACAGGGGATTGAGCCCAGGTTTGCTGCATGCAAGGCAGACGTCCTCCCTGCTGACCTATGGCTCATGCCCTCTTTGCTGTTTTTTTTTCTTTTTGAGTCACACCCGGTGATGCTCAGGGGTTACTCCTGGCTCATGCACTCAGGAATTACTCCTGGCGGTGCTCGGGGGACCATATGGGATGCTCGGAATCGAACCTGGGTCAGCCATGTTGACTGCGTGCAAGGCAAACGCCCTCCCCGCTGTGCTATCGCTCCAACCCCCCTCTTTGCTGTCCTCATCCCATTTCTCCACGTATCTTTCCCTGCTTCGCAATGCCAAAGTGTCGTTGTCAGCGGGTGGTGTTTTTCCATAACAACGTACCCACATTTTAAATCATATTGTTTTTCAATCGGAGGACACGACGTTCGAAGCATTCGTGTTTTTCCTCCGCACTGAGTTATCATGATCATTTTTAGTAATAGGCGAGAGATCAAAACCAGATGTGCTTCATTTTCGTAATGAAGGGGGAGCATAAGTACATTGTTGCAGAGCGTGGAGCCCCGACCGAGGGGCCGGGTGTGGGTCCCCCCGTAAGCAAAGCACCCGCAGACTTACTGCTAAAATGAGACAGGCTCATCCCATTTTTCATTTTTGAATTGGAAAAGTGGGACTATCATAAGCTATATTCACATATCAGAAGTTGGAGGGGATGGAGGAGACTGGGAATTCTTGAATAACTCATAAACATCGCCATGGTTATTTTCCATTGCTTCAAAGAGCAAAACAATTGCTTGTTTTTCAATTTTTTTCAAAAACAATGTGAAAGATTGTTTTTATTTTATTTATTTATTTTTGCTTTTTGGGGTCACACCCGGCGATGCACAAGGGTTACTCCTGGCTTTGCACTCAGGAATTACTCCTGGCGGTGCTCGGGGGACCTTATGGGATGCTGGGGATCAAACCCGGGTCAGTCGCGTGCAAGGCAAATGCCCTGCCTGCTGTGCTATCGCTCCAGCCCCCAAAAGATTATTTGCAATGATCTCCCTTGCAGGCAGCTCAGTTTTAACCACTGGATTAAAAAAAATCATAGAAGAGTGGGAGCAGAGCAATAGCAGAGCGCTGGCCTTGAATTGAGGCAACCGGGTTTGATCCCCGCCATCCTATATGGTCCCCCGAGTACCACCAGGAATAATTCCTGAGTCTGAGCCAGGAGTAACCCCTGAGTATCCCTGGTTGTGGCCCTCCCACCCCTCCCCCCAAAAAAGCCAGAAAAATAGAAAAAGGATGATTAGCCTCGTGTCCCTGGCTGGGCGGGTGTCAGGGCTCACAGGTCAGTGGCACCCCCTGAGCTGGACTCCGGGTGTCTGTTGGCTCAGGGGTGGCTACCCCCGCTCCTCACGCACTGCCCTTCCTCTGCCATGCTCCGAGCCACTCACGGAAGCATCTTTCCACCCACAGGTGGTCTTCGTCGGCATGATGTCCAGCTCCACGCTCTGGGGGAACATCTCGGACCAGTACGGCCGGAAAACAGTAAGACCCCCCTCTCTACTCCTCCCTCCTAACCCCACGCCCCTGGACAGCCACCGCGCTGATCACCAGTAGCCGGACCCCAGCAGGTGGAAAATGGGGCCTGAAGGGCACTGGGGAGCCGGTGCTCTGAGCCCTTCCCCCTCCCGAGACCCAGGGCTGTGTGTTCTGGAAGAACACCCCTTCCCTAAAGGAAGCTGAGGTGGGCGAGGGGGGAGTGAGGGCTCTGGGGTTGGCAGAGAGAGGACAGGAGAAGAGAGGAAAGGAGGAAAGCAGAGGGGAGTGGAGGGGGAGATTCACTGCTTTGGGCTGGCAGCAGTTAATGAAATTAGGAAACTGCTCCGGACCCTCTCCGGAACTTGCCAGACCCAAAGGGAAGCTCTCTCCTGAGCAGACCAGGGCTGGGCTGGGCCACTCCTTCCTCCTTCCCTGGATAAAAATAAGTGTTGAAAGAGAGTTGGGAATGATCCTTCTGGATAAGAACTGTGTGCTGAAGACAGGTAAAGGAACAAGAGAACCTCTCAGTACCTGTATTGCAAACCCTAATGCCCAAAAGGAGAGAAAGACAGAGAGAGAGAGAGAGAGAGAGAGAGAGAGAGAGAGAGAGAGAGAAAGTGCCTGCCATAGAGTCAGGCTAGGGGGAGGTTGTGGGAACTGGGGACATCGGTGGTGGGAAATGTGCCCTGGTGAAAGGATGGATGGTGGAACACTGAAACCCCATCGCGATCAGCTTTGTGACTTGGTAACTGTTTATCTCCTGGTGACTCAATAAAACAAACATACAAACAAAAAGTAATTGCCAAAAATAGGATTGAAATTAAAAAAAAAAATTGTTGACCCTCCCGTTCTTGAGGCAGATACACCGATGTGTGCGAATGCACACACACACACACACACACACAGAGCATAAATGTACTGCACCCCAAATTCTGCCGTTCAAATGCCAGACCATGAAACCATGAAGGGAAAGAAGGGAAGGGACTGAATCTTCATCTTAATCTGAGACCGGGTGCGGTTGCGGGGCTCCATCAGGGAAGCCGGCTTCTGCTTAGTCCTGTGTCCTTCCTTATATTGGAGGAGGCGACCGGGAACCACAGCTCCTGGTTCTTGGTTCCCCAAGTTAAAGGGCAAGTGGACTTTTGTCCTTGGTGTCTCCTCCCGCCTTCCCCTGGGGAGGCCAGACCCAGGACAGAGGACGCAGACGGCTCCATGGGACCGTGCTGTGATTGACTGGTGATGTCTGCCACAGTGCAGCAGAGGGAGGTGGGGAGTCTCTGGACTTCAGGGGAGCAGCGAGGGTGTTTGTCCACATCACATGGCCCTTGCCTCCCCCCAGGCCCTGTGTGACCCTAGCAGACACTGGGAGCAGAAGCTCCGTCGTTTCTTAAGTGCCGAAAGTGGGCAGGGGAGAATCACGTCTCCCTGTTCCCGCTCCCTCAACCCTCGCCAGTCGCTGGGCTTCGCTGGGGTGTGTTCTCCGTGGACTCTGTGCCCTTGACTGTCCTTGGAAGTACCTGCTCCCTTGGCCGCTCAGGCAATGGTCCCTGCGTGTTCCCAGGAGCGGCCTGTAGAATCTAGAGGTCTTCTCTATGGGCTGGGGCTCCGAGCGGACAGCTTTGGTTCCATTGTTCCCCACAGACCCTTTTGGACCTGGGAGTTGTGAATGAAGGCTGCGGTTCTGAGGCCAGCCCGCTGGGTCCCAGTCCCTGCTCCTCCACTCACACGCTCCCTGAGCCAGAGCTAGTTATCATCCTCCTGTGCCTCAGTTTCCTCCCTGTGATGAGGAGACGTATAGCCTCTTCCGTAGGGTGAAAGGAAGCACTTGGCACAGAGATGCATCTGACACATGCCAGTCCCAACCCTTAGGGCTTTGCCGGGCTCACCCCATTGCCATCAGGGGGTGTCTGGAAATACAGGTGCCGATCAGAATTTCACCCACCTCAAATGGTCTACGTAACATGGCTTTTAAGGAGAAGGGGGTGTCACCCTGGTGATGCTCAGTGGTTTCTCCTGGCTCTGCACTCAGGAATCACTCCTGGCAGTGCTCGGGGAACCCTGTGGGTTGCCGGGAATCAAACCTGGGTCAGCTGCATGCAAGGCAAACACCCTCCCGACTGTGCTATCACTCCAGCCCTAGTCTATGTAGCATGGGAACGAAACTGCCTCTAGTGAACTTCCCATCCAGACTCCCTGCACCATGGCTTGCTAGGAGGATCAGAGAGAGAGAGAGAGAGAGAGAGAGAGAGAGAGCCCCCGGATGGCAGGACTGTGGCCCAGTGGCAGGGAGAACAAAATGGCTCTACTTACAAAGCATGCCCAGACCTCCTGCAGGCAGGGATGTGGCGAAAAAGGGACCTTCTTCCACTACTGATGGGAATGTTGTCTGGTTCAACTGCCATGGAGGGTTCTCAGGAAACTTAAAAAATATATATATATATATTGCATAACAATAGAGACTTACCATTTTTGATTTGTTTTAGAAGTCACGATCAGATATCCTGAGATGCATGAGCTGACTATAGGCCCCAGCTCTCTCCCGAGGACCCAGGCTCACCATCTTTGATGTAGCTCACCTCCATGGGGCATGCATGTTCTGTGCCAGGGATAACGGGGAGCCATCAAATGCTCTGGAGAGACCAGTGACTCTTTGGGCACTGGGGGGCATTTTGGTCTATACTTGCTAGTGCTCAAGGCTCACTCCTGGCTCTGTGCTCAGGAATGACTCATGCTGATGCCAGGGATGACTCCATATTTGTTGTCAGGGATCAAACTAGGATTGGTTGTGTGAAAGGCAAGCGCCTTAACCTCCCTCCAGCCTTGAGTGGCTCTTTCAAAATACAGCATTTAAGGGCCAGAGCGGTAGTACAGCAGGGGTAGGGTGTTTGCTTTGGACAACCCCAGTTCAATCCTCAGCATCCCCTAGGGTCGCCCAGGCACCGCCAGGAGTGATTCCTGAGTGCAGAGCCAGGAGGAACCCCTGAGCGTCGCCAGGTGTGGGTTCCCCCCTCCAAAGAAAAAGTACAGCATTGAGGGTCAAGTAATTTGCTTCTGTCTGGGGGCCACCTGCAGTGGTTCTTGGGAGGCTAATCCCAATGGTATGTTTCGGGGGTTCTCCCAGCTTGGGGGACCGTGTGGGGCTGGAGCTCAAACCCAGACTTCCCACATGCCAAGCTTGTGCCCGGCCCTTTGAACTGTCTCTCCAGCAGCTTTGACGCTGGTGCCGAGCGAGTCACTCACACTCCTTGACCCCCTGAGCCTTCCTCCGCAGGTTGCTGGGAGAATCCACTGTACCAATGTGATGGCCGTTTCAAAAACATAAACGAGAGACCCATACAACCAGGCCATCTGGCAGTCATGCTGTCTGCAGCAGCCCGGGACGAAGCCTAACGAGCCCCAGGCATTTCATACACTGCCGTGAATGAGTGAACAAATGATACATTCGTCTCTTCATCCCAGACCGCCAGGCCCATGCTACCCATGCTGCTTAGTTCCTGCGGAGTGAAGAAATGAAGGACAGAAGCACGCGTCCGCATGACGGGCAGTCACTGCGCAGGACGTGATTGGCAGAATGAATGAGTAATCTAGCTCTGGCCCCTGGCCCCTGGCACAGGGCAGGTACTCACGTACGCTGATCGTCGGAGGAATAACTGAATGAGCAAATCAACGCACGCTTGGTGTTGATGCATGACTCCCTAGAGCCTGGCATCCGAGGGCTGTGTGATTCGTGAGTGTGGGGAGGGGAAGGAGTGCGAGAGGGAGGGGACCAGTGCAGAAGGACGAGTGTAGTTAATGATCAGCCCCCAGGGTGGGAGACGACATCTCTGCAGTGTCTGAGAGGCGCTGGTGTGGGAGTCGCTGGCAGGACCTGCATCTTCGGATCGGCCATGACAGAGGGCTGCTGAGACCTCATTTTCCAGGTGGCTGGAAAGTCCTGTCTCAGCGGCAGAGGCAGAGCGAGTAGTAATTTGCAGTGACCTAACCGGGACAGACCCCCCACGCCCATCTTTCCACACGACCTGGTCACCCGTGACCTCCCTTGCATGTCCCGCCGCCCACCTGGCAGCCCCTGGAGCGGGGGCTTGACTTGTAGGCCCCTGCAGGGACGCACTCTCTGCCCTTTCTCCTCTGCTCTGTTCTCTTTTCTCGGCTGCTAATCATGCCCTCTCTGAGTCAAGACTCGGATTCCAAGGCAGGAAAGCTCTCGTAAATGGGCCAAAGCCACACGACACTTATAACTAAGTCGAGGTACGTGCAGCTGGCACCCATTTTGCCGTCATGATTTTAGGGTGCAGAGATGCTGCTTTGTTACCGCACTCGGTTAAGGCACAGTGCTTCCCAGGGTGAGTGACACTGCCCCGGGTGGGAGGAGGAGTGCCGGGTGATGGAGAGGAGCCGGCGTCAGCTCCCGTGCAAATGGCAGGGGGCAGGGGTGCTTGTTTGCTTAAAGAAGGTAGCTTTGAGGGGCCGGAAAGATAGTACAGGGACAACGCCTCTTGCCTTGTACAGGGCCAACCCAGGCTTGATCCCTGACACTATATATGGCGTCCCAGCATCCCCGGGAGTGATCCCTGAGCACAGAGCCAGGAGTAAGCCCTGAGCACCTCTGGATGTGGCCCCAAAATAACAAAGGAGGAAAAAAACTAGATTTCCAGTTGGGATTTTGCTGGACAATTCTTTCTTTTCTTTTGTTTTCTGTAAAGGGGGTGGTACCCGACATGCTTGGGATCCTCTGACTATAACCTGCAAATTCCTTCCATAATTACTATCTTTAGTAATTATCTTGTTTTTTGTTAATGTCATGCAGTTTTTTTTTTTGGAAAAGGTAAATGGGATATGAGTAACCATTGATTTAACTAGGAAGTGTCTACAAAAATAATGACAACGGAAACCAAACAATATTATTAGAGTCTGGTTTGCCATTGCCCATCTCTGTTACGCAGAGATGTAGTGGGTGTTTTTAAAAAGTCTTGAAACAGACTCACAAATGAACCAAGTAGCCCACT